CCTGCTAGCGTTTCTTCACCCAGATATCCACATGCTTGCTCCCATACTTCCATCTGGGCTTTGCTTAAATTCTCTCAATGAGACCCTTCCCGATTACCTATTAAAGATTATGTCACGCCCCCATTCCCCGGCCACCCTGCCCTCCTATCTGCTTTTCCGACTTTATTTTCCTGTGTAGCACTTAACCACCATCTGATAAAAATGTTTGTTTATTGCCCCCCCGCAATCTTCATAAGTGTAGGAATTTTTGTTTGCTGCTGCATCCCCAGTGCATACAAGAGTGCCTGGCCATAGTAGATGCTAAATAAATATTTGTCAAATGAAAAGGGCAAACTAAAGCCAACCTACTTTAATATCATTCCAGCTGGTCTGCTGAAGGGTCCTCTTGGAAAAGAGCAGTTATCTCAGGTCCAGGAGCTGGAAGGGAAGAGCTGAGGGGGCCCGTGGCTTAGGGATTTAGCCCACATTACACAGCTGTCATTGTGCTACTTTGTTTCATTGTATGGATTACACATGTGTGTTAAAATCTCCGGTGAGGTGATTCAGTCCGCAGAACTTCGTGTGTCTCTGTCATCCATGGACATGTCTTCTTCTTTTAAAAGAAACCTGTATGGTGTTAATGTGTTTTTTTTTTTTCCTTTGAAATCATCAGAATGTTAAGATACATGGCTCCCTCTAGTAGTATGTAGGGGCCACAATTACAGTGAAAGGGGGGTGGTAGAGCCATTTTGTTTTTCTTTTATGGAGACAAATAGCCCTTCCCCTGAGGGTGTCGGTGTGAGGCAGGGGCAGCTGCACCCCTAAGATCAGTGCAGCAGCCTAGGGGCTCACCTGTGGGCAAAGGCAAGGTAGGAGCTCCCTGATCAGAAGCCCTGAAAACTTGCCTTTCAGAAGGGCCTGGTAGAGAGGTGTCAGTAGCCAGAGTGGGATACAGGGTGCCCTCCTGGGTCAGAACAGAACTCCATGTATTGAAGAATCTCCACAGGATAAGGATCATTTCTTTAAAACCACTTTAAAACCCCTGGCTTAAAAAAAAAAAAAAAAAAGTGGAAAAGCCCCCCACCCCCCAAGCTGTGTTATCCCAAAAAGAGAGAATGGGAAAGGATGGCCCCCTGAGGAGTTAAAGATGTCAGTGTGGGTTCATCTGGGTAGGTCATTGAGGCCCAAAATGGGGAGCTGGACAGAGCCTCTCTAGATGTGGAGTCAGGTGGTCCTCCCGAGCGATGGTGCACCTAGCAGAGTACGAATTGAAAGAGATGTAAGTCTGAATCGCGAGGGATGTCTGCTGCATGCTAAGGCTGCCTGATCCGGTGTTTAAAACCTGGGGCTCAGGAGCCAGTCTGCCTGGCTTCAAATCCTGGATCCACTACTTAGCAGCTATGAGACCTTCTGTAGCATAATAAACCTCTCAAGGCCTCGATGTCTCCGTCTGGAAGCAGCCAGTGTCTTGCTTAGGTGTGTATCCTCCCTCTTTCTCTCTTCCCCATCTCTCCTATGTGGGCACCGGGCAGGCGTTCACCCCCACCATGCCACGAAAACCGTTCTTCTCTGGGTCGCCAGCGACCTCCGTGTCGCTCTATCCAGAGGTCAGTTGTCCAAATCCTTGGCTTCTTTAGTCCATCAACCACACCCAACCCACTGGCTTACTGTCTCCTCCCCGAAGCTCTTCCTTCAGTGGGCTTCCTGCTCTTCTGACTTTCCCTGCTACCTCGCTGGCCACTTCTCTTCCTCTGGCTTCTCTTCTTTCCCTTGACTTCACAAGGTTGGACCATTTCTAGATCCATTCTCTCCTGTTTGCACTTAGTCCCTTGGAGATCTCATCTAGTCCTATGGCTTTAAATAACATCGAAATGATGACCACACCCTCTTTTTCATCGGGGGCCCAGATCTCTCCCAGACTCCAGACTCATGCGTCTGCCTATCCACTCGACCTCCCCACTTGGCTGTCTGCTTGACATTTCAACTCAGCGGGACCAGCACCAAACTTCTGACCTTCCCTCGAATCCTATTCCACCCTGTCTTCTCCATCTGGGTTGATGGTAACTTCATCCTTTTAATTAACTGATTCATCAGCAAATCCTGTTGGCTCTTGCTTCCAGAATACAGCCAGAATCTCATCTCTGATCACTTCTCATCAGGTCAGTCAGTACTGCTCTGTTCTCTCACTTGGGTCATCTCAGTAACTTCCTAACTGACCTTCTTTCATCTGCCCTCATCTCTCAGTAGTCTGTTCATCACAGCTGCCAGAGTGATCCTGTCAACACATTAACTCAGCTCGTTTCACTTCTCTCATTAAAAACCTGCACCAGCTTCCATCCTACTCAGCATAAAAGCCTCCACCCTTCCAGGAGCTCAGGGGCCCTGTGCAGCCAGGCCTTGTTGACCTCTCTGACCTTTGCCTCCTGCCTGCCTCTGGAGCTGTCCAGCTGCAGTCATGCTGGCCTCCTTCCTGCTCCTCTAACACACTGAGGGCCTTTCTGCTCCAGGGTCTTTGCACTTGCTGTTGCCTCCTCTTGGAGGGGTTGCTCTTCTCCCAGATAGTCCTGTACTTTGACCTCTTACCTCCTTCATGGCAAGGCTTAAATGACGTACTGGACATTCAGGGACTTCCCTGGTCACCCTATTTAAGACAACATCCCTCCTCCACCAGCACTTCCTGTTCCCCTTCTGCTTCTGTGTTCTCCTCAGCAGTTACCATTAACATACCGGAGGCAGAGACCCATACTTCATTCACTGCTGTATTCCTAGTGCCTCATGCCTAGAGCCGTGCCTGGCGCTTGGTGGGCACAGCATTGATAGTTGGGAAAGAAATGAGTGTTGAACAAATGCAGCAGAACCATCCGTGTGCAACACTTGGATGGTGCTGGCACACAGCGAACAGTCAATATCAGCCAGCTGCTTTCAGCATCATTACTGTCAGTGCGTGGCTAGATGCCAGAACATGAGTACTGTTTTTTAAAAGACCTGAGCAGACACTTCCCTGGTGGCACAGTGGTTAAGACTCCACGCTCTCAATGTAGGGGGCCTGGGTTCAATCCCTGGTCAGGGAACTAGATCCCACATGCGTGCCACAACGAAGAGTTCGCATGCCACAGCTAAGGAGCCATCGAGCCGAAACTAAGGAGCCTGCGAGCTGCAACTAAGACCTGGTGCAGCCAAATAAATAAATATTAAAAAAAAATCATCAACCAAGAAATGTTCTTAGAAAAATATTATATATAAAAAAAAGCTGAACAGTTTTCAGTGAAAAGATCACACAATAACCCTATTTCTAGACTCACACTGGTTGAAAAGACAACAATAAAATAAATAAGAAACTAAGAATGGATAAATGTAATTGAACAGACTTTGTTCCTGAAGAGAAGTGTAGGCGTTTTGAGGTAGGATGGGACATTAGGGACATTAAGTGTGTTGGGTGAAAACAAACCAAAACCAAACCAAAATGAAACACCCCCTCACCACTCCCCACCAACCCCACGCTATGATCCTGCAGTATGGGTTTGGTTTTTCTTGGAATATATTTGTTTACTATCATGGTCTCCTAATAGATGACAATGAATCAGGTGCCCATGTGTTTAATAATAATATTTCAACTATTTGCCATGTCTCCAGTTGGAAACTGTGTAGAAGTCCTTGGGTAGACTGTGTGGAACTTGTGTAACCAGATGTATAGGTCAGTGGTCTCCAATCATATCATCATCCAGGACCCCTCTGATCACCAACTCTTCCCACTAAAATGAACAAATAAAACAAACTAAACCTATGCTTGGAAGCCCACCTCTAGCAAACCAGTTGCATTTAAAGGTAATTATTCTGTTACCCATTTAAAATTAACCAAAGCCATAACTGTCAACCTCAGCTTTTGATTACTGTCTAACCAGTGTTTTTCTACCAGCTTGATCTAATTTTAACCAACAGTGAGACATTTGATTGCTTAATTAGCCTTTGGCAACCATTTTTCGGTAGACTACAGTTTCCATGTGGCTTTTTTAAGTAGTATTTAAATAACCCTGGGGACTCTCATTACTCCCTAAGAGGATGCCTGAGGACTGGCTGGAGACCCTGTACACCATTCATCTCTTAATACTAATTCAATCGTTAACAGGTTTTTTTTTAATTTTATTTTTACATCTTCATTGGAGTATAATTGCTTTACAATAGTGTGTTAGTTTCTGCTTTATAACAAAGTGAATCAGTTATACATATACATATGTTCCCATATCTCTTTCCTCTTGCGTCTCCCTCCCTCCCACCCCACCAGGCGGTCACAAAGCACTGAGCTGATCTCCCTGTGCTATGCGGCTGCTTCCCACTAGCTATCTGCCTTACGTTTGGTAGTGTATATATGTCCATGCCTCTCTCTCGCTTTGTCACAGCTTACCCTTCGCCCTCCCCATATCCTCAAGTCCATTCTCTAGTAGGTCTGTGTCTTTATTCCTGTCTTACCCGTAGGTTCTTCATGACATTTTTTTTTCTTTAATTCCATATATATGTGTTAGCATACGGTATTTGTCTTTCTCTTTCTGACTTACTTCACTCTGTATGACAGACTCTAGGTCTATCCACCTCATTCCAAATAGCTCAATTTCGTTTCTTTTTATGGCTGAGTAATATTCCATTGTATATATGTGCCACATCTTCTTTATCCATTCATCCGATGATGGACACTTAGGTTGTTTCCATCTCCGGGCTATTGAAAATAGAGCTGCAATGAACATTTTGGTACATGACTCTTTTTGAACTATGGTTTTCTCAGGGTATATGCCCAGTAGTGGGATTGCTAGGTCATATGGTAATTCTATTTGTAGTTTTCTAAGGAACCTCCATACTGTTCTCCACAGTGGCTGTATCAATTTACACTCCCACCAACAGTGCAAGAGGGTTCCCTTTTCTCCACACCCTCTCCAGCATTTATTGTTTCTAGATTTTTTGATGATGGCCATTCTGACTGGTGTGAGATGATATCTCATTGTAGTTTTGATTTGCATTTCTCTAATGATTAATGATGTTGAGCATTCTTTCATGTGTTTGTTGGCAGTTTGTTGGTATATCTTCTTTGGAGAAATGTCTATTTAGGTCTTCTGCCCATTTTTGGATTGGGTTGTTTTTTTGTTATTGAGCTGCATGAGCTGCTTATAAAATTTGGAGATTAATCCTTTGTCAGTTGCTTCATTTGCAAATATTTTCTCCCATTCTGAGGGCTGTCTTTTGGTCTTGTTTATGGTTTCCTTTGCTGTGCAAAAGCTTTGAAGTTTCATTAGGTCCCATTTGTTTATTTTTGTTTTTATTTCCATTTCTCTAGGAGGTGGGTCAAAAAGGATCAGGTTTTAAAAATTATTTTAAAAATGTGTTCTTTCTCTCATTTGTTCAGTCATTTAACTTTTACTTGTCTAACTTGTTTATTACCATTACTTATGATAGGGGTTATTATCTGACTTTCACCACCTGAGTTCCATTCCTGGTTGGGGAGCTAAGATCCGGCAAGCCATGTAGCATGGCAAAAAAAACAACAACCAAAAAAGCAAAAAACTCAGTGGGGTGGCTGAGACAGAAGCAGAATTGAGCATAATTAGTGCATTCTTGAAAAGCTGGGTGTGTGAGCAGAACTATAATTTGAGTACTTTAGAAAACAAGGTCACAGGCTGGAGGCTAATGAGATAAGCTCCGTCTGGTGTGCATGGTGTTTTGAGAAAACTGAGGTCTCATTTCCCAATTGGAAGATTTTATTTAATATCAGCATTTCTAGTTTCTTTGGAAAAGTCCCTTCTGGGCCACCAGGCCTGTTCCCCTGTGGCTGCTTAGCCAATGTCGTTTGTGGAGAGCTGTGGGCTTGTTGGCGCCTGACCTCCCCCTGCTGTTACGTCACCCCAGCCCACGTGTTTCCCTGCCTCTGCCCTCCTCTGAGTGGCCCCATGGTGTTTTTTGTGAAGGTGACAGGGGGACAGGTGGAGAAGAGCCGGCTGAAGAGAGTGGGGCCCCTGCTTCAGCCAGCTCCACCCTCATCGGTCTTATATTTTGAGATTCTGTGTAATATTTCATTTGAGACCAGGTTGCTGCTGCTGAAACAATGACACAGAAGTGCAAATGTAGTTGACCCTCATTATTTGTAGATTTCATGTTTGTGAATTTGCCAACCTGCTAAAATTGTTAACCCCAAGCTTGTGGTGCTTTCACTTTCATGTGCAGATGTGCCCAGAACTGCAAAAAAATTTGAGTGGCCGGATGCACAGGCTCCCAGCGGAGGTTGAATAAGTCAGTGCTCTGGCTTGTCTTTTCACCCCTCAAACTAGAAACAAGTAAACAAGTGTACTTTTTGTAGTTTACTTAGTGCCACGTTTTTTTTTTTTGCATTTTTGTGCTTCTTGGAGGTGATTTCACTGTTTAAAATGAATGAAGTGCTGTCTAGTGTTCCCAAGCACAGGAGGGCAGTGATGTGCCTTAGGGAGAAAATACATGAGTTAGATGAGCTTCATGCAGGCGTGAGTTACAGTGTTGTTGGCTATGAGTTCAATGTTCACGAGTCAACAAAATATACTAAAGAAGGTGCTTTTCAACAGAAGACACATAAAACATAAAACAAGGTTATGTATTGCTCTGTTGACTAAAACGTTGTGACCAGAGGCTCGCAGGAACCTAACCCTGTGTTTCCCCTAGGAGCGGTGGTTCAGTATCCAGTAATTCAGTGTTCACAGTGACTTTAATAGAACATAACTATGATACATAATGAGAGCTGACAGTAAACTGAAACCCCACAATCCAGGAAAGCATGCTACTTAAAAGGCTGCTGAAATGAAGCCTTTGTAAAGAGAATGAATTCCAAATATTCTTTCCTATAAAACCTGGATTTTCACATTTCTGGGTTGCTTGATGTGGGGCTCGCCCCATGCATATATCTGACCTTTACAGTTGAACTCCTTGAGGGCTGCCCTGTGCACTTCTTTGTACAGTAGCTCTTAATAAACAGATGTTTCATAAATGCCCGCTGTTGAGACTGAGAGACACTCAGGGCCAAAGTGGCTTGGCCTCAGGATGTAACCAGTGCTCAGCCTGTAAAACTATTGGGAGAGATCGTGGAACCA